AAGAGTCCGGAAAGAAGGGTTGGAAGGCCCAGCCTGGAGCACTGGAAAGATCCAAGATTCGCAAATGAGGGCCCGCATTGAGGTGCCGGTGTGCAGCGCACTCGACAGGATCAGGCGAGGTGTCTGGGAGCAACTACTGACCTGCACTTTGACGTGGGGCGAGAACTAGGCACTGCGAAGGACTGCTGATGAGATGGAAATGCCGTTGCTCTCGCAGGGTGCTGCAAGAAACTTGACTATAGACAGCAAAGGCCGTGTCTCCCCACCACTCCCGAACCCAACCTCGCTAACATCATCAGCTGTGCGCGTGCTCACACTCGAAGCCCATTCGCATAATGGGCCGTCCTTGGCTGGCGTTTTTCTCCTCGCATACCTTCATGCCTGCTTGTTTCTTTCTCAGTCAAAAACTCCTTCCGGAGATTTCGTGATTACATTCTGCAATCATATAGCCAAAGGTTGCTTGACTTCAAGCACAGCACGCAATTACAACACAGCCTTGTCTGGAGAAATAGCTTACCGGAAGCCTGGTTGGCCCGTGGTTCCACTGCCGCGCGGCATCACTGGAGCTCTTGGACGGCCCTTGCCTTCTTTTTTTTTTGAATTCTGCAACTCTAAATCCCCAAACCCTGAACACGAGGCCAAACCCGAAACCCCTGCCCCTAATCTTCAACCCACCGGTGTATCCTGTTCTTGCCAGGGCTGACTTTCCTCCAAGAAATCATTCCAGGCACTCGGGTCGAGGGTCTCTCACACACTCGAACTGCCCAGATTTTTGCCACCCATCTGGCTAACTCAGTCGCACCGCTGGGAACATGGGGACGGTGTAGAGTCTTGAAGGAGGCAACCGATACCAGATGAGGTAGAGGATTTTTCTTGCCACTCGCATCTCGGCAATGCCATTGCGAGTGAAGGTAGGTTGCTTCATTCAACAGCTCAATCAGATGCGCAGGCTTACGGGCCACATCCCCCGAACGAACCAGGTAGAGGGTTTGTTGGTTTGGGGTTAAGGTCAGCGCCTTTCCTCAGACTTGCACAAGCACTGCGGAACATATACTAGATTACTAGATCGAACTCGCAAGCATTTCGATCCGTAGGACAGCGAAACAACAAGTAGCTCAAAGGTTGCTTCTGCGCACATCTCTGTAAGCATGCATGTATGGGTTCATGGTCTTAGCCGCGCTCAGACGAGCCCCAGCATCGCGCGCGTTCTTGGATTCTGTGGCCAGTAGACAAAGTCCAAACTATCACGCCGTGAACTGTGGAACTGTGGACAACCTCGAGCTGACAGAACAGGGCTTGCAAGATCTTGCAAGGGCCAGGAGGCAACCTTTCTGTGCAGCCTACGCGCCGACTCAAACGGGACACAGGCAGACAGACAGTCAGACAGCATGCGCACATAGCTCGTTTCCGTTCATCGAACCTTCTCCCAATACACATCCCAAGCGTTCGACAATAGCGCTGGTGCAAAGAAGTGCAAAGGGTCCTCCTCCGGCAGCTTGCCTTGCTGGGTGTGGGCCTTTAGACCATGACTCTCGTTCGAAGCAGAACTGCTACTGGCGGGGGTGTGACATCCGTCCTCCAAGAAGCGCAACGCCAGCTTCAGGTCCATCTTGGCGACCTCCATGGCAGCCTTGGCCTTGTCCACGGGACCTGCCGCAAAGTCGCAGACGGGCAAAAAGCCCTTTTTTATGGGGGTCTCAGCTGCAGGGGCCTAAGACCACTTCCTTCTCGTCTGCACGTTTGCCTCCACCCTTGCCCTTGGTTCGGGAAAAGGGCAAATCCAACTTCGGGTGCTCTTCTGACCTTTTTCAAAGAGCTGGACCTTCGACCATGGTGCCGATTTCGCCGCTGTTGCCTTCTGGGCCTGCATGGACAGCTCAGAAGCTCTGGTAGTGCACCAGACTACCATCTACATACCACCCGCCTGGGGCACTGCTGGCTCCTCCTGACACTGCTCACAAGAAGAGTAGGAAGCATGGGATTCTTGAGCACTCCTTTGCAGGATCGCAGGGCCTGCTCCGGAAGAGGTTTCTCCTCTGCCTCCTTCCCCAACTGCTCTGCGGTCTCCACCTTTCCCTCCGCTGCTTTCACTTTCGACTCCACCTGGTTACGTTTGAGTGCTCCGCCATGCTCCCCCTAAGCCCCAAACCCTAAACGCTTCGGCCGGCCTCATCGATGAATCCTTTGAGGACAAGCTGCTTCTGCACGGGCTCCGGCAGAGAGGCGCAGTGCGAGACGTTGGCTTCTGCCTGGCGAAGTCGCGCCTGCAGAGCGACGAACTGGCCAAAAACAAGCTCCGAACGATGTTGTTTCAACGTTAAGAACGGCGCAAACACGTTTCCCAAGATCTGAGGAATGGAAATTGTGTGCCTGTAGCTTGGCATACTCTGCTGCGAGCTCGGCTGCGTTCTCCTGCGAATCCCAGACTTCTCGAGTTCAAAGTCATGTCTTCCACGTGGCCGATATGGTGCAGATCACGATTCAAGGCGGTCCTTGTTCTTGGCCTCTATCTGAAGCATCGTGATCATGCGCTGCGCCTGGTTGACGGCATCGATCGTCTCCTGGTACTTGCTGAGAGCTGCTTGGCAAGCTCGAGGTTCACTGACATCCCACCTTGTAGGCCTTTTGGTTCACATCTCCGGCTTGCCGGATGTCCTCAGACTCGTGCGGATCCGCGAGGAAAGGGGGATTCCCTGAAACAGAATCCGATCCAACGAGGACCCGGCCAGGGCGGACATGGTGGCCAGCTTCTCATCGTCAAAGATGGGTGCAGATGTTTGGTCGGCCTCTCAACTTTTTCCACAAGTCGGCTTGTTCTCCCACCCGCTTAGCTGACCAGGTCCCACCACAAGTCGGCTTTAGGGTTTCGGGTTTCGGGGCTCACGAGGCATGTGGTCATTGGTCGCCTCCGTGAAACTAATTGCAAACCCAGGAGAACTCAGAAAACACGCCCCCAAGTAAGCAAGGCTTCGTTTAGGGCTTTCGGTTGAGGGTTTGGTGTCCAGAGAGCACCAGGAAGTACGGGCCTTCTCCGCAAGAGCCTCCGCTTCAGCAACCTTGCGGTTGGCCTCCTTCCGCTTGGACACCCTTGGCTCCGCAGCATGTTAAGGCTTTAGGAACTTTGGGGTTTTCTAGTTAGTTTGCGCTCTCACAACTCGGCGAGGTTCCAGAGGTACGTGTCGGCTTGACACAGGATCTGTTTGTTTCTACCTTTCCTCATTTCTGTAATAGGTCTGCCGGGGCCCTGCCTCAGGCAGGGGACACCCCAGCAAGAAACAGGACTACCTAACTAGAGCGAAACCTCTCGTGGCTGTTGACTCTCCAGAGAAGGAGACCGCAAAACGCCTTTCAAGTACCTCGCATGGTTTAAGGGCTTCTTTTTGGGCTGAGGCCTCTGTAGGGCCTAGGGTAAATGCTAAACCTCTGAACACCCATGATAGGCACCTTTCCTGTCATCGTGCGAAGTACCCTTCGTCGGTGCAGGCTCGGCAAGCCGAAAATGTGCAGAAACCCACACCGTCCAGTTTTCGTGCCCAGAAATGTAGGGGTTTAGGATATACGCTGCAAGCCCTCTAAACACCTGGGACTGCTCGGGGGCCCAAGAAGATCGAGCGGCCAGAAGCCCTACCAAGGAATACATCATTCCCAACTGCATCAACACCCACACCTGATCCCGACAATCTCGGCGCGAAAGCCAGGAGGAGGAGCGATAAGGTGTTAGCCCGACAAGAAGGCCCCCCGAAAATTCAACCAAACAGCCCTAAGCCTTCAAACCCCTAAACCCCAACACTACAAACCCGCTCTCTCGAAGCTTCCCTCTGCTTCCCGAGACTAGAATTAGAACCCACCAAGGCGCTCTTTCTGCTCCGCTGCCTGCTTCTTCAGAACCTCGATCTCTGCGAGCGAGCCTTGCCTCAAATGATTTGAGTTTAGGGTTTAGGGCTTAGGGCCTTAGGTTTTACGCTCTCACGACTCAGGGTTTCAGCACTCACTCAGGGTTTAGGGTTCTGTCTTGCACGGCCCTTTTAGGGTTTAGGGTTTATGCTCTCACAACTCAGGGTTTAGGGTTCTTTCTTGCATGGCCCTTTTGGGGTTTAGGGTTTACGCTCTCACTTTAGGGTTTAGGGTTTAGGGTGGTTTTTGCCTCCCGCCTAGTTATAGGACGAGCCCCGCATTGCAGGCTTGGGTCAGAGAGAGCAGTGGGATCTCGGGTCTATAGGCTTTCGACCGCTTTGGCAATACGGGGGAGGCGTCTCAGCTTAGGCTCCGGGGTTTAGGAATTCTATGAGAGCGCAAGAAAAAAAGAGGTTTTAGGATATGAGTGTTTGGTTTTTGGCCCTCCCGCAGAGCTCTCGGAGGAGCCAGCATCGTAGCGGTGGTACAGGCGAGACTGAGACTGAGACGACCATACGTCAATGACTCAACATCCCTCGAATGTGCACAGCATGTCACATGGTTTCTGCTGTTTTTGCAGGGTCCAGCGGCGTTCTTCGGGTTAGGCACATGACACCAACCGCTCCCTCAATGGACCAGTAACAATGACAACAACAATAGCAAGGATCAGATTGGGAATCCCTCGCTCAGGCCCGTGCAGGGACTGCTGGTGCTCCTGTAAGCTTCGCTGCGCCTGGATTCCTGCCTAGGGACCGACGCCAAGTCAGATTTGTCGCTTGTTCTGCTGGAACCAAACCCTAAACTTCACTAAACCCTACAAAAGCTGAACCTCAGCAGTGAAGCGCTTCACCTCGAGCAGTTTCCTGGGCGAGGCCAGGCCACGATAAACTCTTCGCCATCACAAATCGTGGGCCTAGGTGAGAGCCCCCACGCACACAGACAGATATGCATGAAGGTTGGTTTGTATGTACGTCTGTATGTGCATCTGTCTGTAGGTACCTGCCTACCCTCCCTACCTACCTACACCTGGAGCGGGGTAAGCAACTTCAAGAGGCCAGGCCACATGGAGATAGCAACCTTTGCCAATGCTGCGGCCCTGCCAGCAGTCTTCAAAGCCTCCTTCGGCGAAGGACATATTGCAAGAGCAGGTAACGAAGTTGCCGTGGTTGGGTCACTTGTGTCCTCCTCTTCTCCCTGCGCCTCATCCACTGCCGTCTTCGCTTCCTTTATCGCCTGCACACGCTTCAGGCCTCTAATCTCCAACTTATCAGCGGCAGCTGACGGCGCGGCCTTCGCAACAGAGTCCATCTTCTCGGCCACATCACTGACCTGAAGCTTCCGGC